CGCCGTTGTTGCAGAAAGCGAATGTTGAAGAACTGTGTGTCTTTGGTCATAAAATAACGAAAAATAATCCATGAGTGAGTCAATCGGCGAGATGACTTCAACATTGTAAATAATAATGCAATGATGAGGATAAATATTGACTATACTACAACTATTAGAAAGGTAACAAGTGCTTGAAAGATTCGTCAGTTCTAGATAGTTCAGTGGTTAGATCAGTCACCCAGATTGCGATTGCAAGGTCATGGGTTCGAATCCCATCTTAGGGTGCCAGGGACCAAGCAAATTTTTTAATCATTGTTCATTTAGAATAAATATAAGTATAGTTAATTGTAATGAGTTTAACCTACTTCCATCGCTATTACGTTATCCTATGACCGCTTATTACAATATTGACTTCAAGAAACTACTTATAAGCGATAAGACCCTCTTATGTATAGTATCGATAATTTTATACTAGTGTTTTTTTAATTCTGGTATGGTTATACAATAAAAAGTGTTATGTCTATTATTTTATCTATTATTTTACTTTAGTATAGCGGATTTCATAAGTTACTTTGTTATAAGTTCACCTGTCCTGTATTAAACTGTTCTACCCGCAGAGTAAACTACTGTTAACTATTTAATTGAGTTACAGGATACTCGTTTGCAGGAAGCATGCGGTTTCGTTTAAGTAGACGCTTAAAACTTCACAGCAATTTTCTGCTTGAAGTACTTTTTGTAACATACTACCACGTTTGGTTTGGAATTCTTAATGGTATAATTTAGTGGTTAAAAAAAATCAATGCAATCTTTCGTGGTTTTAACAGCTTATACGAAAAATTGTTAGATAGTTCAATGAATGATTCTATATTAGGTTGATCATGACTAGCATATTACATCAGCTTGAAAATTATAAATATGTAACCAAATCCTACACTTAATTAACCCTTAAAATAACAGTCTCATCTTTCTCAATTAATATTAAATTAGTTTTTAGTTTGCGATATTGCAGATTTCACTACAGCAGTGTTTATTACTAAATCCAGGTCACGCACCAAGTCTACCTGACGGGTAAAACTGAATACAAGCTTTGTAATCTCGACCGGCAATCGAACTTAGACCGGCCTCTTGACAGCTTGACTGATGGTAGCCAACGGCGCCGACGGCAGAAAAGATTCTATGAATTCTTAAATGTTTTACTAGCGTAAATGGATATTTTAACTCGAATAAAAGCATTCAATATTCGCTATAAAAATGAAGGTGCCTTGATCATACTATCAGTCTAACAAGGCCATAAAAATGGATATCGCTTTGGAAATGATATCAATTAAAAAAGTAAATGCTGATATAATATGAGGATCAAATATATATGTATATATTTGATCCTCATATTATATATATATATATATATATTTACTGATCTTAAATGTAATAAAATCATATTATATTTAGAACTCAACAAAAAAACTATAACAATTATTTCATAGAGTCGGTATTTAATAAATATTTACTATAACACGACCCAATAAGCAGTCGGAAGCTCTGGAAGCTAGAAGCTTCCAGAGCTTCCGACTGCTTATTATATTATATTTTGAGTTGCAAATATTTTATGGAGTCGATAAATTAACATTTCGAATAATATCAACATCAATCTATTCGGTTATATTCTTCATACAAAATAAAATTTTGAAAGATAGTAATGTGATGATTGCAAATGCATATTTGATTAGTTTCGATATTGTAAAGCTGAATGCTACCACAGTGTTTGTTTAAAGTAAATATTCCAAGAAAAAGCAAAAGAATAGTTCCCAAATTCATATAACTTGCGCGTTGAAAGACACCGCGGCCACCGTAAATTGAAAAAGGTATAAGGTACATAGTCCCCAGGGAAATTTAATGTGTCTCCGAGCACGCAACAAATTTAATAAGAAATAAAAAATCCAAGTGTAACGGAAAATCTAAAAAAGGTAACAAAACAGCAGTGGACACGCGAATATGGCCCGAATCTTTTCTTATGTAATTTTCATTCTTTTAGTGCAGATTTTCGTGCGGCGGCGGACGTGATTTTAGAAGTTGTCAGGATATAATGTCTAGATTTATAGTTGCAATAATGTTTTTATTTTTATTCATGAACTTTTAAATATTTTTTGTCAGGAAGTGAATATTTGCTTTTGCAGCCGATATTTTATTGCAGATATTTATTTTAATATCCACAACAATTGAAATTGCAATTAACTTGTTTTACCAATAAAGACTTATATTTAGGTAAAATGATTTTTAATTAAAGTTAATTTAGGGTTTTTAAACTTATAAATGAAAAGAATTTTGATATAATTTAGTAATTGTGAGTCTTCATTTCCCTTTACATATAGTTGAATGAAATAATGTTAGCTTCTTCGTATTACACATTTTCTTTGTAGCCTTAATAAAAAAAAAAACGGAATCGGAAAATTCATAAATGCAAAATAAGTTTAGAATTGCGAGTAAATTAAATTGCATAATGTATGTGTTTGCCACTTGTATATCTTCGATTATCGGAAGACGTCGGCATGATAAAAATATTACACGATTACGGCGCAAAGAAATTAATATCGTGCTAAGCGATGAATTCATGCCACAAGATGAATCTGTTCTATAAGAAACTGCATGGCGTGGAAACTTCCGATGAAATTATAAACTGAAGAAACTGTGCGTTTCGGTTAAAATTTTGTTATTTAAAGATCGATTCTGGTATTCAAAGAAATTATATACTCGGTTGAACAAAGATACAGCATGTTTAATTATGACTTTAAGCTCTTATTAACGTTCTGTAATTGAAAATTAGTGTCGGTAATGTTATTTCAAACTAATGGCATTTCTAAGTAGGTGTATATGTTTAATTTTTATACAGTAATCCGTTGCTACCACGCTCACCGGTTTGAAAATGTCGCTATCTCTTCGATCCTGGTGGCGTTATTTTCTATGTTTTAAATTTATCACAATCCTTTTCAAACGTACAGCAGTTGTTATAGTGATTTATGGAATTGTGTAACTTTAAAGTCACATTCACTTTCGAAACGAATGACAATTTGTATGATATAAATGTCTTAAACGATTCAGTTCGTTTAACATTTTCCAATAATATTAAAAGATATTTTTTAACTAACACTTTGCTTAGAGAATTCCGATTAACGTCAAATAATCGTTATCGTTCATTTAATATTTTTTAAAAAAAACGTCACAATCGTTGTTTTTATCGCATATCAAATAGTTGAAGTGTGAAGTTCGTGAATATTTTTCAAATGACAAAGTCAAATCGATTCTGATAGATTTTACCATTAGACAATTTTGCCAAGTGTTGTGTTCCTGGTCTCATAAATGTAGATAGTTAACTATTGTATATTGTCTCGGTTTGCCGGTTAGCGACCACCGGCAATAGGGAATATGCGTCTGATTCAAAAAAGGGTTAAATATATTTTATTACAATCGTTATTGCTTTAGAATAAAGTCTATCTAAATATTTTTCAAGATTAGTTCGTTTTCGTCTTGAAAATAATTTAAAAAAAGTGCAAAATAAATGCGGTAACTTCAAAATATTTAAACGCCACGCTACTTGTCACAGCGTATGTGACGAAAATGTACACGTATAGGGATGTCGTTGTTACAAAAAGTTAACATCGATGCAATAACATCAATGTATTATATCGCAAAATAAACAACTGATTACAATTTAAATGATGTTTTAGGCTTTTATTTTTATTTCACCAATTTGGTTAAATATATGATTTATTAAAAAAGTCCATTATACTTTAAAAAATCGATTAGTTGTTAATCGATTTGGGTAAATGAATAATAATCAATCACTCAAAATCCATATTGATTTAAAATGTCATATCTCTAGTCGTGTACTTAGACGTCACGACGAGCGCGCCAAATATTCCGGTGTTTAAATTTCTCGTAGCTATTACTTATTTTCATCAATGATTAATGTTACAAAATTTTAGTTTTTCGGTGCCGGGTATTTTTTTACAGTTATATATCGAGGTAAATTATCATATAAAACCATTTTCCAAAAATGTGCATATTCCCTATTGGGTTTTTATTTTATCTATTCATAGCTTTATTAGAAATTTAGAAAATTTATGGGAGTAAGAAATAAAAACACACTGATAATCGTTTGAAAAAATATATAATTTCCTACAAAATGCGTTTCGTTCGTTCACAAACACTCGGGTTTCTTTGTTGTGGCTTTTCGTATTTTAAATATGTACCTATATATTATATTATATTATATATATCTATGAGTGCTTTAGTTACTGATTTTGGAATTTGAGCAACGTTTGCGATTGGTCTATATTTATAAATATTTTTATAATACACTAATATATGTATGTAAGACACCATCTACTGCCCATCTTTTGATCAGTCTAACCTGCGGTTGCCTGGAATATCAAACAGATATAGAATAATATACAATCAGCGGCAGCTTTTAACCCATCCAATGTAGGCTAAATACCCACAAATATGTCAGCTTCAATTTAATTTATATGGGAACGAAGTCATTTCTAAATTTATTAAGATATTCGTATTCAACCATGTCTGAATAATTTTTGACTATGGCACCGTACTTATTTATATTTTAATTTCACTGTAAAGATTGCGGAGGTAGTAAATCTTTGGGTCATATATCGATTATCAAACTGTAGTAACTTCATCGGCATCTTCATGATTTTGGCCACACTTCGAAACGAATGGAAATCTAATAGGGAAAATGGTCTATGATCTACTACGCGAGTCTAGTAAGGATTCATGGGTATTAATGACTGCAGATGTTGCATTGACTAACGGGTTAACGTGCCTTCTGAAGCACGGAAGATCTTGAAAGAATAAATTTTTTGGTCACCCAACCTAAGACCAATCTTTGTAAATGTTAACTAAGAAAGATCTAGACACTGCGCCATCAGTTACCTACTTGAGTTTTTACAGTTCATAATTTTTATATATCATCGTAGCCATAGATATAACAGAAAATATTAACTTACCTATTTTAGCATGCGTGCAGGTAAAAGAGATGACACACGTAAGTGTCAGCACTAAATTAGCGATCTCCATTATGGTCACTTAGCACTTAATCACTTAAGTTACTTGCATTTTCACTGGTATCACAATCACTTGTATCTGAAAATAAATGACAACTGTTATTCATATCAAGCATTAGGAGATTTTAATACAATAAAATGCATTTATGTATTGTTAAATTATTATGTACCAAAACAACGATGAAAAGAGGCCAAGTGCTAGTCGAATTCGCTCATGAAGGGTTCTGTAGTTATATTAGCAAAATATATACTACACTTATAACTTTTATATAAAAGACGAAGCTATATTTGCAGTTATTTTTTGAGAAATAATAGTTTTACGGTCAGTTGCACACACGTCCATTAAGGTTTAATGATGTTTTAAATTCTAATGAATGTCAAATTACGTTAATGCTGCTTTAAGCTTATAACAATTTTTATATGCGTTTGTACAACTGGCTGTTAGTAATTTTAATTTCACTTTTATAGTTATTAATTATATTTGATTAATTTTGCATGCACACTGCTATAGGTACTGAAAAACATTCTTAATGAAAGGCCATGGATTCGAGTCCCATCTCAGAGTGCCAGGATGTGTATTTTTCAATGTGGTTTTTTTAGCATTTTTAATTTAGAATATTCATCTTTATAGGTTTTTTAGTTCCAGTTCTTAATTTTTAATAAAATACGCTTAATCAGCTGCCAAGTTTGAACTGTGTATTATTAGTATCACGATAAAGTGACTGTGTTATACAGACGAACAGATATAATGAACCTATAGTCGTTCCTTCTTTTTAGTTGAGACACAGAACCCTAAAAAAGAGCGACTTTTTTGCCATAATATTATTTTCTCTGTAGCTCTGTAACGCAGTTACTGCGCTTACGAATACAATTCGTTTACATACCCGCCATCTTGAAACGCCATTGTAATATTTGTATTGGAGACTAAATAGATTTTCCCGTGTTTCGTGAAGGTAACTTTACTTTGGTAATTTGTAAGATGAATACACTGAAGAATATTTTACAGTTATTCTTTATCAATATTACACGATTATAATCATGCAGGAAATATAAAATCTTATCTTAATCTGACAAATGACTTTTAATTAACTCAAAACGAACGAATATGACCTGGAATGTTGAAACGAAAATTAATTTAAACATTAATAAATATGTTACGGGAAACAATTTAATAGCAAATCTGCTGTGATCTGTTCTTTGGTATCATTCATAAAAAAAGTTTTTCAAGAATACAGAGATACCCGTAGAATTCAGCAGCAGATATTGATATAAAAAATATTAAAGATATTGGCTTATCTGTAAGGAATAGTCAATAAAATTTGACACTATTAGATGCAATAAATGGCCACTCAATCTTTTATTTCATTGATGGTTGGATATTATCCTAATTTGTTGTGCTACGTACACTTAACCTATTGATGTGTGTTTATGTCTCTAAATGTCTACTTTGGTAGAAATTTTATCAAATACACGAATTTATTCTTGATGTTTCGAGGCTGTGCCAACACTTGCGGATTCCCCATTTTATTTCCAACGATGAAACGCTTTCGGAGCATCTTTAAATATTTATGTTGGGGAAAATATAAATACTTTATCTTTACGTTTGGACGCATTCGTGGTTCCTGTATTACTTTAAGCTTTCTCACACTTGAAATGTCAGGTAAGTATATCGAATTTTCTAAGTAAATCTAGAATTATGTTTTTCTTTTAATTGATACCTGTTATGAAGTATTGATTGTTGTACTCTTTGGCAACATTTGCCTTTGCTTGCCATCTTTACTATTGTATCAACATGTATTATTTCTGCTACCTACAAAATATAAGTACGTCTACAAACACGAATGGATTACTTTTCTTCTTCGTTATCGCTAGAATTATCCAACGCGGGATATCACAATTAAATAGTTGAATTTAACCTTGACCGAACAAGGAGTGTCTTAATTGGGTTTTTAGATAGGTATGTTGATAATATTAATATGAGGATCACTAAGGTAGATAATATAAGGAACTATAAATTTTAAAGTGTTTGTTTATCGTTTTGAAATTGAAAATGAACTATTTTCAAATTTCGGGCACACAACATACCGATGGGTAAAACTTAAAACCTATTATTAAAACGCAAGCAAACCAGTGTTACTAACAGATTTTTAATACTTACGTAAATTGTATTTGTAAATTCAGTTTGATATATTTATAGAGAAATCATATAATTATTTTCCGTGAGCGAATCAATTATGTGATAAAGTAGAATTCATGAATAAGGTTTTTAAGGAAACGGATATGACGCGTGACGTCACTCACAGGCAGGGCTATGCGCCCCACGGAAATGACACATCACCGACTTTGATAGTCAGAAAATGTACCCTGTCACTTAGCGTGGCTTTTGCAAAATAAGGCGCTGTCACATTGCCCTTAAATTAAAATAAATTTTCAAGCATTTACATCGCTATCTCTTCGTTAATCCCACATTCGTGTACCAGAAAAACAAGCAGCAAAATGGGTCATTGATTTAGAATCTTAAAGGTTTAAAAACATTATTATTATTTTAAATTTAATAATTTAAACCAAAACAATATTTTTTTTTTACGTGAGAACATTGAGTCGCACAAGCTGTCTATAAAAGTAACATAACTGTTACAAATTTTGCACATTCATTTGCGCTGTCTTTTCTTTATTAATAAAGAGGAAAGATTTGATTGTTTGTTTGATTTTTTGTTTGTTCTCAACGAATAGAAACTACTGGATCGATTTTAATTTTATCATATCATTCGATTTTAATTTATTCCGAAAAACAGCCCATAAAGGAAGATTGTATAGGGAATTAAAACGTTACCATAACCGTTGCTAACTATTAAATTTGTCATTGTAATTATTATCCTTGTCTCATGACAAGGATAAGGATAATAATTTGTATATAGATTAATGTCATTATGAATCTATATCCAAATAAACAATTCCCTAGGGGTGAAACCGGAATGGCGGAAAGCTAGTAACTAATAAAGAAGAAAAGTAAGATGATTATAATTGAATGTTAAACGTTATGAGATTCAGTATATTTTTACATACTTTCTATTATGGCGGGTCAAAAGGTATTAAGTAGGTAACTATATCTTTAACTCAATTTAACGAGTTTAAATACTCGTTAGCACACAATAATCGATTATAATTAAGTACACAGTTTTGTTAACTAATTATGTACTTATTTATTAGACTGGATGTATGAATATACCTATATGAAATAGTTATGAGCGACGTGATAAGAGACATATTTTTATTGATCTCTCTATCTATCTATCTATTATTATTTATTTCTAATGTTAGTAGGTGCATAGAGAGAGATAGAGAGAAAGAAAACGTAATCATGTTTTACAGTGTTACAATTAAACTCAAAATATGTTTCAGATTACTTTTAGCTTTTTTACTATATAAATAAAACCAACAAAAAATATTTTAATTTGGGCACTAATTGCAAATTTTTACTATTGGTAAAGATGTACATGTTGTGAATTATTATATTGATTTATAGTTATATTACTTAACGTCAATAAAAATTTTACGCCAACGTTTAAAAATGAGACATATGTGTCTGCAGATATATAATGCAATAACTTAGTTTCCGTCTTCAACACTATCAGCATTAACGTTCTGAAGGAAACTTTGTTAGGTTAAATTTTGCATATGGCTGGTTTTCCTTCTAAAAATACTTTCAGGCGAAAACTCCAAACTACTTAGTATATTATAGTAGGTATATATGACAAGATGAAGTGCTACGCTTTCATTTGTTTGTATACACGGCAGCAAGTCAGGCTAATACAATACAAACCAGAATCAATATTGAATTCTATTAAAAAAACTGGAAAGACAAATTTATATCAGTTGATGATGTTGACCGTGCAATTAAGAGACGCTCTCCATCTCTTCCTGAAAATAGTTAATTTGCTTATTACTAGCTAAAACTAATTATAAACAAAAGTGCATATACATATATGCAGAATATAAAAACTAGGTACCTTAACAAAAAAGTAATAATTATTTATTAATAATGTTAGTAGTCGAATATGCAATGAATTAAATATCGTATTGCTCAGTGTTGATTTTAAGTGGTGAGATGAACATCAGTTAACATAAATATTAGGTCCTTACATATGAAATTGGTGTTTGGTATGGGAGGAACAAAGAGTCGAATATTTTTTAATATAATATACAGTGGACCCCCGGTGATCCGACAAACGTTTTGCAGGGCAGTGTCGGCCCATCGAGTTTGTCGGATTATAGAGTATTGTCTTAGACCCCTTATAGTTCGGATTTTTTTACAAAGGAGTACCTTGTAATTCGACAAATTACAGATCAGTGATAAGAATCCATTTGTTATAAGTACTCTGAAGTACATATCATACTTCATTATGTATGTCGAATCTAGTAGGTAAATAAAAGAGCATAATATAGAGCTTATGTAAAAAATTAAAAAAAAATACATATAAAAATCATGTGCTGTTGGTATTCCCGAATATATATAAATAAATAATGTAAAAGTGATGTCATTAATGCTAGAACTGCATGCATGCATTAGGAAATAATTGTGTATAAACAAATGTACTTACGTAGGTACTAAAGTAATTTGAAATTATTAATAAAAATTGAATCAATCAATTTATGAAGCACGAAAATATTCATTAATTTTTTTTAATGTCTAAATTGTAGATTCATTTGCCAAACTACTGAAAGATTTATTTCGACTTAAGCGATCTAAAATATCAGATTTTTCTTTAACTGTCAGAATTTTGAGCTTTCGCTTGTGGGCTTGTGACGACATTACTAGGTACATATAGGTACGTAATACACAATGAATAAACAGTAGGTAAACAATGAACGCACGCATGCTAGGCCGCGGACCACAATCACCTGTAGTCAAATTCAAACTAAGCAATCCAAATCAAACAAACAATAATGGTGGCGCGAACAAGTTGTGACCTGTTCAATCATGCATTACGTATCTACCAAAAAATATTCAAACATACCGGGACTACCGGGTACCTATAGACTACCGGGGGTCCACTGTATTTATTTAATCAATATATA